GTACATGTACAATACTGATATGTCAGTACTGGTCAGCAGCAACTAGGGAACATGCACCATACTGCTATGTCAGTGCTGACCTCCGTAACAATGATACTTGTGCCATACTGCTATGTCAGTCTTGGTCAGCCGCAACAAAGGTACATGTACCATCCTGCTATGTCAGTATTGTTCAGCCTCAACAAGGGCACATGTACCATACTTCTTTGGCAGTACTGGTCAGCCGCAACAAGGGTACATGTACCGTACTGCTATGTCAGTACTGACCGCCGTAACAAGGGTACATGTCCCATACTGCTATGTCAGTCTTGGTCAGCCGCAACAAAGGTACATGTACCATACTGCGATGTCAGTACTGACATCCGTATCAAAGCTGCAAATACATTTTCTTCGTGGTCTAGCTAGTTTGTTGTAAAAAAGGATTACATTGTTAATATTTCAATGTTTGTATATCTCAGTTATATACATCAGGTCACACTGAGCAGTCAGTGTCAATGTTAGGCAAGCTTTACTGCTGGGTGGAGCGGTATATATGTCAGTACTGGTCAGCAGCAACTAGGGAACATGCACCATACTGCTATGAACGTACTGGTCATTCGCAACAAGGGTACCTCTACCATACTCCTATGTCAGTACTGACCTCTGTAACAAGGATCCATGTGCCATACTGCTATGTCAGTACTGGCCTCCGTAACAATGATACATGTGCCATACTGCTATGTCAGTCTTGGTCAGCCGCAACAAAGGTACATGTACCATCCTGCTATGTCAGTATTGTTCAGCCTCAACAAGGGCACATGTACCATACTTCTTTGGCAGTACTGGTCAGCCGCAACAAGGGCTCATGTACCATACTGCTATGACAGTACTGGTCAGCCGCAACAAGGGCACGTGTACCATACTGCTATGTCACTACTGACCTCCGTAACAAGAATACATGAACCATACTGCTATGTCAGTACTTACCTCCGTAACAAGGATACAAGTGCCATACTGCTATGTCAGTCTTGGTCAGCCGCAACAAGGGTAAATGTACCATACTGCTATGTCTGTACTGGTCAGCCGCAACAAGGGTAAATGTACCATACTGCTATGTAACTACTGCACTCCGTAACAAGGGTACATATAGCATACTGCTATGTCAGTACGGGTCAGGCGCAACAAGGGTACATGTACCGTACTGCTATGTCAGTACTGGTAAGCCGCAACAAGGGTACATGTGCCATACTGCTATGTCAGTAGTGACCTCCGTAACAAAGGTACATGTACCATACTGCTTTGTCAGTACTGACCTCCGTAGCAAAGATACATGTACCATACTGCTAGGTCAGTACTGACCTCCGTAAGAAGGATACATGTGCCATACTGGTATGTCAGTACTGACCTCCGGAACAAGGGTACATGTGCCATACTGCTATTTCAGTACTGGTCAGCCGCAACAAGGGCACAGGTACCATACTGCTATGTCAATACTGGTCAGCCGCAACAAGGGCCCATGTACCATACTGCTATGGCAGTACTGGTCAGCCGCAACAAGGGTACATGTGCCATACTGCTATGTCAGTCTTGGTCAGCCGCAACAAGGGCCCATGTACCATACTGCTATGGCAGTACTGGTCAGCCGCAACAAGGGTACATGTACCTTACTGCTATGTCAGTACTGGTTAGCCGCAACAAGGGCACATGGACCATACTGCTATGTCAGTACTGACCTCCTAACAAGGGTACATGTACCATACTGCTATGTCAGTACTGACATCCGTATCAAAGCTGCAAATACATATTCTTCGTGGTCTAGCTAGTTTGTTGTAAAAAAGGATTACATTGTTAATATTTCAATGTTTGTATATCTCAGTTATATACATCAGGTCACACTGTGCAGTCAGTGTCAATGTTAGGCAAGCTTTACTGCTGGGTGGAGCGGTATATCGTGATAGGGATTTATAAATACCAGTCCAAAAACACTTCCCTTTTACACCGGATTGTAGTCTAGGCTGACAATTAACATAGCATATGGTCGTGTCTTCACTGACCGTCCTGTTGTCTTTCGTGTTAGTTCTGAAATTCGATTTGTCCCTGTGTATATTCTATGGTGTATTTTGGCATTGTGCATTGAACTTTTTGTACAATTTGTCCTTTATTTGAAAGTTTAGGTTCTGTGCCTACACTTGTATGTGTTGATTTTGTGATAACTGTTTACATTTCCCTTGCGTGTTGCTTTTGTAACGAATTTTGTCATGTTTTTTAGATTTGATGAGACATTGTTTTCTGCTTTGTTTTATGGTAACTTTATGTGGGAATCGTAAAGTTTTTTTTTTATAGGAATGTGGTTGTTCCAAAATGATTAAATATTCATGTTTTATTGACCAAAACAGTTCGTTATAATGTAACACTGACGAGGAATTATAACATCATGAAGTTACTCTATTGATCCTTGTACCATACATATGATCAGAGATCACGTGATAATATAGATATACCGAAACAAAATAACCACCAGCTGATTTTGTTTGAATCAATACAATTCATCAATCTACCGGCAATGTAAGACTGTGCGCAGGTCCTGATCGGGCTACCAGACACATGGTGACCTGATAAAGGCTTTCCTGACACTCAATGTCGCTTTACTAACGGTACATGTACTTTGATTGGCAGTTCTTCGAGTGCAATATAATTAATTTAAGATGAAATCAAGTTTGTTAGTTATTTACTAGACATATAAAATCAATAAATCAACCCTGTCATTAGCTTTAACTTTTGCTAATGTTCGAGAACTCGTAAACCTCAGTCTAATGTATCCTTTGACAGATTTCGCAATCTGCCCTGGTTCTTATTGTTCCTATAATTATCAAAGGTGATTTACTGAGTATATTGATTTAATACGACCACGTCGTGAATAATAAAATATGATAGAATCGCCGTTTTCCTCGATATATGGAGACATTTACGGCGTACGGGATCAAAATAATTTCGCTTACAGCTTTGCTCTTGTTGCCTAATCTTAAATATGGCTAACTTTTCAGAATTCTAATATAACGACATCCCGCAGTAACAGAAGACACGAACCAGATGTTCCCTCATGACTCCAATTTCTGATTTATGATTATAATGTGTCTGTTTCATCCCCGTTGTATATTGATAGAGTATAGTAGTCTCTGATATTCTGGTATCGCAGTGTCCTATGATTACAAAATAAGCCCAATGCTATAGATGTCTTGTAAAAGACAGACACCTACAGCTTGTGTATAGAAGTAACTGTTGGAATAACGATTGTGCCTCTTTCGCACCCTGAAAAGAAATGAATGTCTCTGTATGGTATTGATATAAACACTCACCTTATTAGCTAGCCCTGATCTTTTATGCCGTTGGTTTACGACTCTACCGTCGCTTGCGATCCTACTGAATGTATGATTCATACAAAAAGTGAAATACGGCTTGATTTATATTGTATGTGATTTCCAGTGTTAAGTCGTCATGTTATGACAAAATCCGAACCTCGACTTTTATTTATTATTGAATTTGATTTCAAAAAACATGTTTTATGTGCTATCGTCGTGTTTCATGTAGTATACAATAATAGCTATGAATAATATATTTATTTATTAAGGAAGCCATGCATTCATTCTTGCAAATAACATTTTGTCTGTTAGCACATAGCTTGCCGCAACAACCAGACACTAATAAACTATATAAGAATGGAACTCTCCGCGCTGGATAATAACGTATCTAGGTGGTATACCAGTATGATTGACTCTCACAGACTAAACCATAGAACAAGGAAATTATTGAAGCCATATATGGCGTAATATGGAAGAAATTAATAAATCACAGATTTGTTGGTCTCGTATTACAGGGCAATGACTTTGTATTATGTATGTAAGAGCAAATATCGTGACACGTGTACTTCAATCTGATTACACAAATTAGATCGTTCTAGACGCTACTGGTACAAAACATATCAGTTTTAAGGATTTAATATTAAATAGTAATATTTCTTTCTATGATTAGTAATGATCATGTTCATTTGAAAATGTCACGTGCACTTTGGTATGTTATGCATTCGTATGTACATTGTACATGTACGTTATGTGCATAAATGTTGATGGCATGTGTATACTCGAGTATGTTGTGTATACACCTGAGTACATTGTATGTTATATGTATATTTTTGTAGGTACATATATATGGGTATGTCATGTGTATACTAGAGTATGTAGTGTATACACCTGAGTACATTGTATGTTATATGTATACTTTTGTAGGTACATATATATGGGTATGTCATGTGAAGACTCGGGTATGTTATGTGTGTTCTAGGGTATGTCACCAGTTAATTTGAATGTGACATGTGTCTATATGGATATATGATTTCTATATAAGGGCATGTCATGTGTGTATTTGGGTATGTCATGTGTGTATTGGTGTATATAATGTGTGTATTTGGGTTTGTCATGTGTGTATTTGGGTATGTCATGTGTGTGTTTGGGTATATCAAGTGTGTATTTTAGGTATGTCATGTGTATACTTGGGTATGTCATGTGTGTATTTGGGTATGTCATGTGCATATATGGGTATATCACGTGTGTATTTTTGTTTGTCATATATGTTCTTGGGTATGGCATATGTAGGTATTTTGACATGTTATCTGTTTACTTGAGTACCTAACACATATTTTTCAATTGTCATTTGCCACAAAAAGTCTATGAATTTCTTGTGTGTATAATGTGCTTTGTACGATGTATAACTGCATTAAACATATTCACGTGTTTTTGTATGGGGGTTTCTGGGGGGTTTCATGGCTCAGATTTGATGTCTCTTTAATTCGGTTAGTTTTTGTTTTTTTTAAGTACTGTTCTTTTAAATCTGCTTTCATCAGTGAAATTATCATATAAGATGTACTTTGATGCGTAAATGACTTTTGTTAAACATTTTTCATTTTCCCCTATGATATATGTTTCCTACCAAGTCGGTATATGGTTGTATCTTCTCTGTCGTTACAGACACATTCCATCAACACGCACAGAGAACAGAGACTCCGTCTGTCACAGGCTGAAGCCGACTGTTTTGATATAATAGACAACAATGAGACTTACCGAAACCCTACCGGAGGTATGTATGCCCAGTCCTTATGAAAGGGAACTAACATTTAACTTGGGTTTATTTTGGTGTCAGGTATCCCCGTTGTATTTTTAATTATGTATTAATATTGTATATCTAGTATTTGTTTTCATTTCCGCAAATTTTTGACAGATGTAACAGTGATATGGATTGAATAGCAGACAGGTCAATTGAAATTCTTTCCGTGAGTGGCTGTACATTTGATGTTATATATTTACAATGTACTAAGAGTATATAAACTGATTGATTTAAGGATACTTTGAAATGAAAAATGAAATAGAGTAATACTTTGTAACAAATCAGTTGAGATAACTCCAACATAATCAACACAATGGGTGATAAACTCATAGGATACCACACAAACAAGACGCAAACAACTTACAATCACACATCTAACACAGTTATACTCTCCAAGTATACTAAGTATCCCCGACCTTCCGCGTATTGTGTATTATTATTAAGTATATTGAATGCCGACAAATGTTCACCCTTCGACGATAAAACTTCGCTGTTTATTTCCCCGTCACATTTAACAATGTGTTTTATGTTGTTTACTAATGTTCACTATCATGATAAATTTACCCTCATTACAGAGGACGAAAAGTAACCCGTTTTGATGCAAAGACGATTTATCATATAACTACACACGTGTACTAAAAATACATCGGATACACAGACACATGCTTGAGGGGATATCAAGTATGATTTTACTGCTAATTATCAGTATTTATATGATCGTAGGCCCGATAACAAGTCCGATTAGAAAAATAATTTTTGACTTTGAAGACAACCCTTGGCTTCCCTGCATTCAAATATATTTCGAAATCAGGCCGGCCTTGGAAATATTCTTCGTGTTCGTATTCCTGACACATGTTACACATGGCCTATGTTTATGTCAGATAGCCTTTTACCGAGGTAACCGACGTGTCTTGATTGAACATAATACACACATTTGTATGTAAACCAACATCTAATAACATTGCACTACACTGCTGTTTCGTCCTTTTAGAACTTAACGACAATGCTGAGGGTCATGAAGGTCGAACTACAAAGTGGTCCAAACTATTGTTGAAACAGAAGTAGAGGTGCATTAAACACCTTGATAATCATACGAATTTAAAAGATAACTTAGGGCACTGAATAACGTCTTTTCCCACAACCACTGTAGGCCTCCTCACCCAGGACTCATTGGATAAACCTGAAAGGAGTTGGAAAACATTTTTGGTTATCCACTGTGGGATGGACCTTGATTTATGACGTCACGTATCAATGCTTTTCGACGTCATTTTTTTATTGTGACGTCATGCCCCATGGCAATTGTTTCCCCATCAGAAACACACATGATGTATTTTCCAGGGGGGAAATCTGGTTTTTCACATAAAATACGAACGTTATGGGAGAAACAGGTCCCCAAACTCGTGATGATTAGTTATCACATTTATCTAACTCTCGTTAGTTAATTTTCAAATTGTTAGAGACACTCGGTAAACATGGTGTCTTTATACAATTTGAAGATTAACTAACACGAGTTAAATATGCATGATAACTAACCATCACCCGTTGGGGAACCGCTACTTATCTTGAACGATGAACGCAAGATATAAACTATAAACTATAAAATTGGATAATTTTTATGCTACGCCAAGAATGACTTCCGCGCATATACCATTTGCTGCGCATGTATAAAAAACATTTTTTTTTCAATGGAAATCTGGAAATTGATCTTCTTTATTGATTGAATGCATAAACTGATGTATCAAAAATGAAAATATAGGCATTTACATTAAAATTACAAAATTGGTTATAAACGTGTTCAAGTTCAGCATTCAGTAACCATGACTGAGACGAGATCAATTCAATCACGGCTTCTACAGTTTAACAAGTATCCAATATACCTTTGGGACGGTGTTTAGAATAGGGTAGCTTCAAAAATAAACCTCAGATTTACTGCTTAAATTGATATAAGCTTAACCTAAACTTGACATTTTAAGATGTTGAAGCTGTCATTACATGTTTAGAGGTGTCAGAAAGCGGTCTTATTCCGACAACCCTTGTTAATCAGAAGAGTGAAAACAGCCTGGTCCATTAGTATACAACAGAGTTGTCAGAATGATGTCGGCAGATTAACCACCTAATTTATATAGTGCAGACGTTCATATTTTAGCGGTAGTCTCATTGAAGCATTTCGGGCTTAGATAACATTGCGCTTCATTATAAATGCGACAATGGACGTTCTGGCATATTGTCCTCTTTTCAATATTTTCGAGACGAACCCATTCATAAATGTATATGATGGTGTTTGATAGGGCACTAAGATATGTAGGTCTACAGTACGTGTTTAGTGCCTTATCTAATACCATCGAAACAGCTGTGTAATGCAGTTACTTTTTTACATACAGTATCAATTAACTTAATTTTATACGTGATACCACATTTATGTTTATCTTGAGTTCATATTTTAATCAAAACCGTTTCCTCAGCGAAATGCCTCTTTGATAGTGCTATATGTGTTCATATTTACCAATTAGATAGAACTTTTCAACATAAAGAAGATAATGTGCACAAACGTGACAAAGGAACGGTGATAATATGAATACACTTTAACTATATAAATTCTTAAACTTTAAGGATATAATCCTCTATTTACTACGGATCACCCTGGGTTGTTCTGTATGTGTTTATGTGTGACACGATCCCTGTCGTTGTAACAGGTCTATTCTGTGATAAAACTTGGGATGACGTTATGTGCTGGAATGCCACTCCCGCCGGAACTGTCGCACAACAGCGGTGTGCCAACTACATCGACGGGTTCATGAAGTCGGGTAAATAGTTCAAATCAATGCTTAGATCGGTAATTGTGACGGAACTATATTCATGTATGATTTCTGAAATGTCCTTTTTTGACACGTCCTCTCATTTCATAGCAATATGAACTGTTAGTATTGCTACACTTTATGTTCTAATTTGATATATAATTAATGTTTAATCCTGAGATATGAACATCAAATCAAGTTTGACGACATTAATGTAATTTGAAGCTAGGCTATATTTTGTTAATTCATTCTGACCTTGTGGTACAAATATTTTAGTTTACTACCCTGACAGCGCTATGCCCATTTGTTACTTATAGAATAGCACATGTTAACAACGTTATTTGATTTACTTTTTATTATCTTAACATTTCTTGTTTGAAAACTTGAGTTGTTAACACTTATTCCTTTCATTTTTAGCATATGCCAGCAGATATTGTACAGAAAATGGAACATGGTTTATCAACCCAAAGACAAACCAGACGTGGTCGGATTACACACCGTGCGTCCCTCTAAAAGGGCTGACTACAATTGGCGTGCGTACGTTTCCTTATATCTGGAATAGGTACTAGAGGGGTACAGTTAGGACGCGTAAGCATGACCGAAAGCATATATGCATCGTTTATAATTCTAGACGGAAACAATCTAAACCATACGGGTTTGAAAAAAAATGCATTAATCATGAAATTGTACATTATTTTAAGACTTTAAGAATAACGAAAACAATCTAAACCATACGGGTTTGAAAAATGCATTAATCATGAAATTTTACATTATTTTAGTACTTCAAGAATAACGAAGACAATCGTTAAAAGGAGAACTTATTCAGCCATATTCTTTTATTGATAAAAGCCTTATATATTGGGATATAGATTTAATTTTGGTTTGGTGTTTAGTTTGTGTTGTTTTAATCATTTTGGGTTGTTAGTTTGATATTCACTTGTTTGAAACGCGAATCATTTAGCATTAGTATTTATTTACAAAATTATTTTGGATGTGTACATAAAAAATTCAAATAGACATTTTATCCTTAAGCTTGCGTTTTTTTAAAATATACATGCTTTTTTTTAGCTATATAATACCTGTTTCTGATATAACTTATTCTTACTTCTAGAATGTCTTTAGTATGAAAATTATAATTTTTAGTTCTATATTGTATTGTTTTGAAGTTGTACCTCGCATTTTCGTTTCTAAATGTACATTACTATCATTGTCTTTTGTTGGACATGTTGTTATATTCAGACATGTTGTTATATTCAGACATGTTGTTTTATTCAGACATGTTGTTATATTCAGACATGTTATTATATTCAGACATGTTGTTATGTTCAGACATGTTATTATATTCAGACATGTTGTTATATTCAGACATGTTGTTTTATTCAGACATGTTGTTATATTCAGACATGTTGTTATATTATGTTTATGTTAATTACAGTGTTTACTTGATCATTATATTTTAAGTTTACGTACTATTTTATTTCAGTTTAATACCATATTTTAACATCTACTATATTTGTAAAATGACATCATGTTTTAATTGTGCATTGCTTTTAATATTGCATGTTAAACTCATGGATATTCATGCGAATCAGCTCTGAATATTGCCATCCTTGTATAAATGCTATTTTATACATTTCCATATTGTTTCATTGTTGGCGTTTACAGGAGCACCTGCCTAGGATCCGACTTATGTACAACATTGGTTATGGTGTTTCTCTGTGCTCCCTGGTCATAGCTGTCTTTATAATGCTGTGTTGCAGGTTGGTATCTCACGTGATAAATAACATGTACCCTTGAACTTCGTTCGCTGCTTAAACTGATCAAAAAGTAATCATAGAAAAACATACAAACACACATGGAATCTTTCTCCTTAGTAAAGTGGTTGTATGTTTTATGTCAGACGTAATTGAAATTGCGCTCACAGGTTATTGGTTTTCTGACTTGCTGACAAATGCAAATCAATGGCATCGTTCAAAGAAGGCGTCCATCTGTATCTCATGTTTATATTTTTCTCGAAGTGTTTTGCAATATATACGAAAGTGTTTTTTTGACTCGCTCAATAACAACAACCAGCCCAGGATATTGATGACGGAATTCGAATGAACGCCATTGATAATAACAACGAGATATAGCCGAGGGTATCGATGATAGTCGTTTGATAACTTTTACTGACAATAACAACAGTAATGAAACGGGATGAAAACATTATGATACATGTCGATATTGCCTTATAATCATATTTCTTCCACGCGAAAAATATTTAATCTCAATTGGGAGGTAGTTTCAGCAAATATTCCAATAAATCATCCCATCTCCTCAGGTCTTTAAAATTATAGATCAAGTTGTTTTAATGACGTTTGATGACGCCTTGCAAATATCAAAATCGTACCTTAAACACATCTCTTGGAATATAATTGCATCTCACTAACAGATTCGTCTGATTAAATTGAGAAACTCCTACACACCTTTATACAAGTTTATCAACGTCAACAGCAAAACAATTAAATCTTGCAGGAATTAAAGCGCAATGATGGAGCTAAATTACGGGGAATAATGCTTGATGGCATATGACTGTTTACACTCTAACCTTAATCATTCTAATACACCTACAATAATATATAATGATTGATATAGTATTACAGGGGCTGTTTTATATGATGTCTTATCAAAACTGAAAACATCGACCCTCACGACAGAAGCAGGATGTTATCCGTTATGTAATGGTTCGTAACGAATAGTCCCATATGCATTACTGTTTCAGTAAAATATGTGAAAAAAATGATATCCAAATACTTTTACAGATTTGCTAAACAACAAAACATATATTCTTAACATCAATCAGGACTTATTATTATTGCAATTTATTTTCTGTGACACAGGTAAAGCTTTAGACAGGGTTTGGCATGAGGGATTTTTATAAGCTAAACAATCTGTTATATTAGGTCAACTACTATCATCGTTTAAAAGATAGAAAGCAACGGGTCATTCCTTAAGGCCATTTCTCTACATTAAGGTCAGTAAAGTTGGCATACCGCAAGGGTCAGTTCTGGGACTATTTTCATTTTGAAATTACATTATAAATTAGCACATCACTTTTTAATACTATTGATGATAACAACAAGTGTGTAGTGGCTGATTCTTTAGATGAAGACTTAGACAATATCAATATATGGGCCAAAAGATGGGATGTTAAATTTAACCCTTTAAAAACTTAATCGGTTATATCTACAAGAAAGAGAAATAGTTTACACCGTCACCTCAATTTGCCGACACAGACATTACTACTTTTGACTCGTATGAACACATTGGAGTCACACTAGCTGCAGAGGATACTTGAAACAAGCATATTCAAGTCATGTATGAGAAAGCATTCTAAAGATTAAATATGATAGCATACCTAAAATATAAAAAAGAGGCACATGCATTATTCCTGCAAACCATAAGAGGCGACTAAGTGTGAACCCCCTGCTGTGACTGTTACAAATCCATCGCAGTATTGAGAGGCGACTAATGAGACATTCCGTAGCATGTTGGAGATTTGTCACATTTACCGGGGATTTCCACATGCACATGTTCCACGTTTTTGATATCTCTCGTTGACTCACTTTATATGATAGTGCATCTTGCCCAAGAATAGGTCCTCTACATCAGCGTCCCTTGTCCGCGATGCTCTCAGCTTAGTTGCTGCCTTCGGCTGTCTTTAGCCGAGGGGACCATTGGTTTTATATAATAGCTATATTTTCAATTATAGTATATCAATTCTATCTTCTTGTAATATGATGTATATGTGCATGTAACTGGTCTGTTTCACTGTGTCTTGAAAAAGGAGCGGATCGCTCCGAAAATTTGACAACCTTAACTTGTCCACACTGTTGGAATTACTTCGTTGCCCAATAAAATATAAAATTGATAGAGAACACGATATCACAATTTGCATTGCCTTTATCAGACACCTCTACTCGAGGATGCTGATGCTAACTAGGACAACTGCTGTCAACAAGCTATGACCATTCTTGAATCTATACAAATTGAGGCTGCAAGAATAATAACTGGTCTGCAAAAGGGAACATTACATAAACAATAGTGCAATGAGCTTGGGTGGGAAACACTTGAAAATAGACGGAAAAATCATAAATGTATACTTATGTATAACATATCTTATCTGTCTGACATTATTAATCAATTTAGAAATACTATTGATGAGCAATGATACCCATTAAAAACACTAAGATTATTTAATCCGCCAACATGTCACAGTAAACTTCAGCAGTTTTTCCCAGCATGTTCCGTGAATTTAATTATTGAAGTAATGACATCTATAGAAAGTCGAGCATGACAACTTGTTACTTACTCCTCCAATCCGCCGTTTCCAATATATTATAAGTGGTATATGTACATGCACCACACGTGAGAGAATTTGTATCATTTGTGATACCTTGTTATTAGCGTGAAATATTTTCCCACTTATTGTATATACTTATATGCCGATCAAGTACATGTGCATGCGATGGGAGAAACTAGGACAATGAAGTAATAACATCATAATGTTCTTTAAAACAAAAATCGTAAAGACAAAATTAAAGTGCATCAGCTTTTTGTCGGAAGTTGTTCATTCTTAAAAGTACAATATGATCTTATTAACTCGTTTTAGATAGAATGGATTGATTTTGCGATACTCTACTACAAATGTGCAGACGAGAGAGAAATTGCCTGTACTCTTTACCTGAATCCATAAATGGAATTACGTAACATTATTATGATGTGATGAAAAACTGTTTCTGTTTTATCTGTACATGTTGTATTTATTTTCCTTTTTTTTTTACAGACGACTGAACTCCAAGAGCAATACCCTCCACATCAACCTGTTCCTTGCCTTCATTTTCCGTGCCTTTATGTCGTTTCTGAAGGACAGCTTATTTGTGGAAGGGCTTGGATTGGAGAAGGACATCATCCGGGGAGAGGAAGGCATTATGTTCAGGAGTGATGGAATGGTTCGTACTGCAATAATAATAATTCGAGGTTCTTATATACCGCTTTATCACAACCTAGTTCGTAGGTCGTCTCAAAGCGGTTCACAAATTATTTTCCGTGGTTATCGGGCCTTTGCAACCTGCCAATACCTTTCTCAACTCCCTTGGGAGCATACAGCCGGAGCTGCCATTTCGGCGCTAACAGCTAGCATTCAACAATTCTAGCACTGCCCAACCTCGTACTCATTTACAGCTCAAGTAGACTGGAACAAGTGGAGTAAAGTATCTGTCTCATAGATACAACACAGTGCAATGCCGTGCCGTGACTCGAACCCGCAACCCTTCGGTCACGAGCCCGGCGTCTTACCACTAGACGACCGTGCCCAGTAGAAAGACCTGGAGTTGCTGGTCCGTGTACACAAGATGTTTTCTGTAACTCACGAGCTAAAAAGAAAAAACTATACTGATCTAGCAACTCTAATTATTGAAAATCTGGTGTTACATTATTTAGCAGGCTTGAATCTACAATAAACACATATTTTGCTTTCTCGTCTGAATGCTTTGGTACATGTAGTGTTGCTATTTGGAATGAGTTATCGTGGTCAATACCATACAAACTTTTCTAGTAACTTCGCCTTCTTAAAGTCAGCGACTGTTCATTTTGACCTTACTATTTTTTATTAATAGCGCACTATAGTGAGAACATTCCGAATTCAAGCACAATAGTCTTGTTTTCAAATCAGTTATATGAGGATTGGTCTTTGATAATTTTTTAATATGGCATGCATAAACATTGCAGGGCCTACGAACTTAAAACAAACCCTACAACTACTAAAACAGCTCTTTATCTAATTAATTTAGTAATGCAATATTTTTAAGTAAACAAACTGTCATAAATTGAATATAATAAGGTTACATTTAATTATCTAATCCAATACAAATCGTGAAAGGACGATAACTGAACTAATACACGTTTTGTGTAAGGTAACATATCACTTTGCGCTAATGCTTCCTTTTACTCTTTACTATCAGTTTAATTTGTTTAATAAGATATAATTATGCACCACGAAAACGGAATTGTGGAAATGTGTTTAAGAACTCTTCAAAATCTAATGCAAAATTCCTAAATCCCTAGGGAACAGCAGATTACACTGAAATTATCTTTTGCGAAAAAAGGTCTGGTTGAATCGTGTCATACGTCTCCTAGTCGACAACAGAGAGGAAAATTGCGTTAATTAAAGCACTCTACATTCGAAAGCAATGACACTTTTATTATGTTTTTATTATTTGATTACTTTTGGGTCTGTATCCCTTGGATTTTATGAAGGATGGGTTGTCAACAAATATACATGATTTATGTAATTGCTAATATCCAAAGCATTAACAGAAAATGATTGAAAAAAAAAATCATTTCACAAGAAAATTGGAGTTATCTCCCCTGCACTGTTTAATTGGATTGGTTTGACAGAATATATGCCTAGCCTGATATCCAATCAAATTGACATATATAAAGTCAATAAAATCTGTTGAAATTGAAATTTGATGTCGTTTTGTCGTTTTTATTAGGGATTTCGTTGACATTGATAGTAAACATTATATTTCTACTCCACAGCACTGGGAGTGTAAACTGCTGTTCACACTGTTTGTGTACGGGGTGCTGGCTAGTAGTATGTGGATCTTCATGGAGGCTTTGTATTTACATGTCCTTGTGTACAGGACTCTCTTCACGGAACGACACGGCGTCAAAATGTACATCGTCCTCGGCTGGAGTAAGTCAATAACACCTTCTTATACAGAAAAAAATGAAAAGTTAAAGTACGTTTATGACGAATCCAATAGGTTTCCTACACATTCTCTTTTATTTTAGATAATAAGATGGTGTTTGTGTACATAAATCACAGATTGTATAAATACTGTCAAATCAGATATTTTCGTGGGGCCCAAATTTCGTCGTTTCACGACAAAACACCATTTCATGGGCACATTAATTCGAGGACAACGAGTGGGCCAGTTCTAAATCGAGACGAGGGGGCTCAAAGACTCCTGCACATCTATGACCAAGTATAAAACAAAGCTTAGCTGAATCAAGTCATTTCGGTACATATATAACGACTATTGTACAAACGCTTACAGGGTAGTCGAAATCGACATCGATTTTGTGGACAACTCCTACACATTTTACAGCTTTGTGTGCATATGCTTCACTGGTCATTTTTCTGATGAAGGTGACAGTGTACATATCGTACTGGTCTTTGAAACGTTACATAGACAAATGTATTGGTTGTGTAAAAAGAACTTATCATAATCCATACTTACCAACCTGATAAAAAAAAAAAGATATATTCCTTATATATTGCCGTAAATAAGGTTGTTTTAAAAAAATAAATTCAACCACACACAGCTTTTCTCAGACAAAAACAAATTATCAAAAACTAACAAGCATGAAACATGAAAACATGAAAGTTCGAAATAGATATGAAATATGTATATTGCGTGAAATCGAGCAGTACATATGTATCCCAGTGTACGTTTAGAGTAATAAAAACGAATTGGTTCAAAAACCATTATACAACTCGGTTAAAATATATATACAGTACCATTTTTTTCTTCTACAGAGATAAAGAATACCTAAAAATCACACTTTTGGGGAATTCGATTATCGAGCACACTCCTGTTTCAAACGTAAATGAAAGTAAATTTGGGAGATGTCCTATGCTATCTGCAGTAGATGAGTGCTGTACGAGATAGCTGAGTTTATAAGAACACCAGTTGTGTTGCTGCTTATCAGGCAGGCACAAAGCGCCGTAAGGTATTTTTCCTTTCCTGACTATCAGACAAGCACCAAGGGGAGCAATGCATCTCACACTCCCGGAGGTACACGCACATGCACATGCGCAGCAGGTAGCACTGCTTCCGTGTACACAAAAAACAATAGCGCACAGCAACATTACAAGATCGGCATTCAGACCGCATCTGTTAACTAGATTTGAAAACAATATTTTATACGATTAAGACATACTGCGATATGTACAATTTTTGAATGCATGTATTTCAAAATAACATGTTTTGTAAGAAAAGATTGCCAACTAATATTGTTTGCCAGATCTTTAAAAATAAAGAAATAGAAATAACCATTGTTCATTTTGCCGTTAATTCATGACGTAGGCACACCGTTTCTTGAGACGTCATAGTGATTGGTATATATATGTACATGTATTAAACGCGCACATTTCTATAATACACGAGCTTGTGTTGATTAGGTACACGCGGCTATAGTATATACTCCAGATATGCATAGAGTTGTAAACAAACAAAATCAGTGCGTTTTAATACCTACCAACAATTTACACGAATAGTGGGTGGTCCTTTGTAGACATACGGGGTTAATAGACAGTGCTCTATTACTTAAAACACATGCAGGGACTACCAGAGGCTAGTACCGATTTCGACATAAGGTCGTCACTATTTAGTACCACTGATGAGCCTTAAATTGACAAAATGTTTAGCCTTTTTTGTTTCTGCATCAAGATATACAATTTGAAAAGGTGGTCCCATGCTTCGTACTTATTAACTTAATCGAGGGTATTAACGTCGGAATATTATTTTGCAACAAATTAAAAGAAAGAATCTGTTCATTAATAATAATTTACTTATTGATACCTTCGATTGGAACATTGAAAGAAATGTCTGGAAAAAATTGTGGTCTTTAAAGCGTAATGTTTTGATTTTGATTATAAAGAAATTTGTGTCATGATCGCAGTTTTATGGACAGGCGATCTTAAATGTTGGTGTCACATTTTTGTTGTTGGATTAAATGTACATCGTTATATTTTTACTTTACTCTTCGTGCATTGTGTTGTAGTACTTCCAGTGGTCTTTCTCATACCGTGGGTCATCGTACGAATCAACTTCGAAGACTTACTGTAAGTATAGCTGTTTATTATAGTAAAACGTGGTTTATGAGTGGTAAGTACGATATAAACGGACAAACAGAAAGAAGTGGTAATTTACGATTTATGTATCTAGTTCAAAACTATTAAAGCGATATATTCTTTAAAACAATGGAATATTTCGTTAATTCACACTATTGTTATTCATGATTATATAGAGACTATTATGTTTATCTTTATATATGATTAGGGTGTTGTTTGTCTCCAACGAATGAAAATCGACGGAAGTCGGAGAGAAACGTGCAGGGAGTTAACATCTGTCTCTTACCAATAATTACAGCACATGACCTGGTATTTTTTCAATGATTGTAACAGCAGGTCAAAAACAAAAAATGACTACAGCTCGAACATGATAAATTATTACCCATATTGCATCGTAATCAAGTACAAGGGCGATAAGTACAAGGGCGACAACTCTGTTAACCTTACACGATTATATCATGAGGTAACACCACAGTGATTAATATCATATGTTTATCTGCTACAGATGCTGGAATACCAGTCCTACAAAGGAGTTTATGTGGATAATCACCGGCCCAGTTATCCTCACGACTGTGGTAGGATACGTTTTAAATAATTATCTTAAATCTTACATAAAATGTTCATGTTTATCAAACACCAGTGTGAACGTCAGTATCATGTTAGTATGTTCGCATGACTTAATTCAATGTGATATGTGGGCATACACATTTCTGCGTATACTGTTTTCTCTATCTGTGAAAATTATATTTACAAGATGAAAATCAACCTTTCTATGTTTCTTATTTCAACTGTTCCTGTATGAATATATAAAATATATTTGCACACATGATTGCTCTCGGTACTGTGACAACAATATAGATAAAACGCGAAAACCAAGTAGTGAAATACCTCTTAAAAGTAATTAACAAAAAAAGGAGAGGGGGAATCTTCATTGATTTGTTTTGACCATTATTTAGCTATTAGACTTTTTTGGCTCAGCAACGGGAAAGTAACATCGGGCCTGACAACAATAATAAGGGACATGATCATTAAGACAAAATACTTTGTTGGAAGCTAAAAACACGTATTTAACCTAGAATTGATATTTCGAAGTGGGGAGGGGCCAATGTCCGAATGTGAACCTAATCTGAAAAAATGTCAGAAATATGGGTGGGCATCTACCCGATCACAAACATATGGTTAAATACGGTAATTTAGTATTGTGACTCGATCAACGATATACAATGAATGGTGCGGGCTCGAATTGGTTTATGAATAGAAACGGAAACTGGAATAAGATTTGACAACTAAAGAGTAGCAATCATGACCCCATAAGTCCACTTATAACGTCGGGGATGAAATAGCATTAGGACTAAATGAAACAGTCGTAGTGGTCTTTCTATTCACTTATGGCCAAAATGGCCAGTGACCAAAGCCTTGGTCGGAAATCTCATTTACAGTATATCCATTTTCATTTCCTCGGATTTATTATGGATAGCTAGTGGCAAAGGTTTGTCAACTGCCTAAAATGAAAAGACAGGAACGGTAAAGAATACTCAAAATGATAACGGAAACGGCTTTTGATTTACTGTGTACGGCGAATCTGATTTTCCAATGCCATGATTAAATAACGTCCTTTTTTCAATTTTTTCAGATTAATTTCATTTTCTTCATAAACATAGTGCGGGTTTTATTTACTCGAGTAAGGACTAATAGAAACGTATCTGGAGCGCGGAAAATAAGGTAAGACACGTATATATTTGATCTTAGTGTGTTACATATGTTCTACATGAATATCAGTTACCACAATGATTGTGACATATTCTTTTGCAATAAATGGAATACTCATTCAAAAATTCATTCCTTGTGTTCCATGGTGTGAAATTAGGTTTAATATGATGTAATATCACTCAATAAAAATGTTATAGTCCAATATTAGTAATTCATTGATGAGTATTGTAAAGCTGACTAAAGTTTCGCCGTTTCACTAGGTTTTGTCAAGGATTGTAATAGGCTTACAAAAAAGTATTATTGAAGATAATATCTAAGTACAATTATCTTAAATGAGTAGTTAGTCCAAAAAAGTACCACAAACGGTACCTTAGCTTATAATAATCATATACAAGTTATCATATTTATATCCTTATTGTGCCAATTAAGTTGCCAACATATATGCACAAGCGTTAGCGAAAAAATGATTTTGAGTTTTTACATGTTTTCAGTATTGTATCGCTAAAACATGTACACTGTAGCTAATCGAGCTACATAAAATGGAGCTTGTGATTGATCTCTAATATTTCCATGGTAATTTATGAAACCAAAAATAAAGGCATACTTAAAATTTGGATTATTTAGAAACATTAAACTTTTAAATGTAGTTCTTGCACTAGGCATTCATTTCAAATACCACTGAGATCTTATTGTGAATACGGAATACGGTTTATTGGCAATAATGATACTATTGCTTTTATAAAAAAGCTATCTGAACGAGGCTTAATTGTGTTTTTCATTTCTTTTCATTGTCAGAAAACTTGCCAAGTTCATTGGAGTGCTGATCCCACTGTTCGGAGTGTGTTACATAGTGTTTGCCGTCCTGTTTAGAGTAGAACTGGATGAAGACCTAGATATACCGTATTTATATGGCGAAATGTTCTATAACTCCTTCCAGGTAAATGATGTTGACATTTGTATGTTAAATATTGATTTAAGCAACGGGAAATGAAATGATACCATTTAGGGTATTTTAACGTATAACGAGTCAAAATTTGGAAATGATTCTCAAGGTAAGGATGAAAACCATATGAGTGCGTCGAGAAAATGTTCACACAATGTACTTTGATAAACGTTTCTTAGTCAAACTGTAGAATTAGGGTAATGACCTGAAAATACAAGTTTGTTTGTATTTGTCATATCTGGCTTAAGAGGAAAACTTTGTGTATTTCTAATATATGAAAAATAGTTTGCTGAAATGTTCAACAGATAATAAATTACTTCATCATAATTAATCTGTCAAACCGACTAGACTCTACCAATCCTATACCGAATAGTAGTTAAGTACAGTGTAAGTATTATGATTAATGTCCACATTTGTTTTTAAGTTATCTGATAAAGGACAACATCTAGGTTACTCATTACCCTTACCACGGAGGCAAGTGTATGTACACTGATTCCAAGGTAGCCACCAAAGATACATTTGACTCTTACAGAAACTCAATTATCTATTGTCAGCAGTATTACAGATCCAGTGCTAATTCTCTAGTGCTGGTACTTTTTTGAATCAATGGTCCCTATTCTAGTCCATTTGACAGCTCTCTAACCATTGCACAGGTCCTATAGTTCTTGGCAAATCTCTATTAAAGGTACATGTACCCGTCTTAGTTATTCAGGTAATTCACCTTCCATTACACCTGTCCTAGCTGTCATGACAACTCTTTATCACTGCCACATGTGCCTATCCTGGTTATCCGGGCAATTGTCCATCCATCCCGCCTGTCCTAGCTGTCATGGCAACCACTGTTCTAGTTATCTAGGTAACTCTCTATCTTTTCTGCTTGTTGTAGTCCTCTTGGCATCTCTCTATTCATTGCACCTGTCCTAGCTGCCTTGACAAATCTCTATTAAAGGGACCAGTCCTAGTCCCCTTGGCATCTCTTTATTCATTTTATCTGTCTTTGCTGTCTTGACAAAGCTCTATCAAAGGGACCAGTCCTAGTCCCCTTGGCATCTCTCTATTCATTTTATCTGTCCTTGCCGTCTTGACAAAGCTCTATCAAAGGGACCAGTCCTAGTCCCCTTGGCAGCTCTCTATTCATTGCACCTGTCCTGGTTACCTTGGCAAATCTCTATGAAAGGAACCTGTCCTAGTCCCCTTGGCATCTCTCTATTCATTGCACCTGTCCTAGGCTCTTTGCAATTCGCTAGCACTCTATCGATGAGTGTCCTAGATACTTGAATCCACACTGTCAAAAGCTCCAACTCTAGACCCCACGTCTTTTTTATCGATGGTAACCGTCCCTGATCTTATGATACATCTCTATCAGCGACACCTATCCGAGTTTCCACTTTTTTTTGACGATTGCATCTGTCGATGATATCCTGGCAAATCCATGTAAATAACACCTGTTCTTGATCCTATAATACATAGTGGTTGTCCGTACTCATACCGTTAACTTTAATGTCAGGCATATAAGGTTTACAGGAAATTGTGTAAATTAACGCTATTTAGTACGCTTCTGATATTTATTCTCTCGAACAGGAAATTAAAATTGTAGCAATGTCGGGATTGGCATGTAATTTCCCGTGCCTCTGCTTGCCTATGGCTTCTGAATAGGAATATCCCCAGTCCGTATTCAATTTGTTGTTAACTTTTTTGTTGAGTTGAATACAGCAAGAAACAAGAACGATCAAGTTAAAACGGTGTATTGTGTATTCGTTTATATCATAAGATACTATCATGCGGAACCCACATATGAATTAAATAGCACCTTTAAATCGCAGCTTACACAGATTTATCATAATATATATATGTTTCTGATATAGAATAGGTTGCTTTCCAATTTAACTCTAATAAAAGATGATTATACGTAAGACAAATTGTTTTTGTTTGTATTCGTTTTATTTTCAGATTTTTTTTATACAAAACAAAGTACATGTTCATGTGTATCACATATGTAATTTGTAATAGTTGAAAACCGCACACACACACATCTTGCTTCCACTTTCACACAAACAATTATTGATTGTCATCTTAATACATTTTTCATAAGTGTACATTTACATTACGTTTGTATAAGAAAAGCAGAAAAGGAAAGTTAATAAAAAGAAAAAATAGACAGGATGAGAAAAAGACACCGACAAAACATAATATGACACAAAAACATAGACAGACACATTTTATTATTAAAATCCTTTACCATGGTTATTCAATTCCTGATGAATTTACTTTGAAAGGTGGAGATAATCATTGGCACTATCGCTGAAAAAGTTAATGCTTTCTATTATAAATTTGTATAGTTCAAACTATTCTACCTTTAACCAAATCCTAAGCAGACCGGCAATCTAAAATTATCTTTTTAACGAATATAGAGGAAACAACATAAATTTAACCGAAAGAAAATTTCAAAACTTTTACGTACTAGAATAGTGGTTAGACTAATTCCTACACGTGCAAAATATTGTTTATCCAACAATGCTATATGCGTCATTATTGTCATTTCAGGGATTTATTTTAGCTATACTGTTTTGCTTTCTGAACGAAGAGGTGAGTATAACAATATGTATATAATGAATCGTGCATGAGTAGCGAACCATTATCTGCCTGTCCATCGCCTCTCCTAACGTTGATATCATGACCCATTTTCTTACTTATAAAATTCCCAAAACTAGGTATATTAATACATTGAAAAAATCATATTACAATTTTAAAGCGGAAAAAGATTAAGACATGAAATATGAAAATAATATGGAGCGACAACAGCAGAGACGGACGATACATCAAACCAAAAGTAAAGACATTGTGAACTCAGCAAAAAGTTGATAATGCAACAAAGCAAACCGTCATGGAAAGCATTTCCTAGAATATATGTGACACCTGTCAAATCCAGACATATTTGTAGGCAAAATATCTATCAAATACAACAAGACGTTATTTAGGCCTTTAAATGGCCCATGCATAACTCGATCATAAATGCCGAACACACTTTCGATATATGAAGTCGCAAAAAAGTCCGATTAATGATACAAGGAAATTATAATATGCACAATATCATCTTCAATAAGATTCAGCAGTTTGGAAATAAATTATACATGCATCAAAGTGTTACCTTCTACACAAACAATGTACGTACTAAACGTGTCGCAACGCTTCAGGACCCCATTGTTTGGCTTGATCAGTACTAGTTGGTCTTGAAACGTTGCGACAGGTTTAATTCGCATTTTGCTTGTGTAGAAAGTAAAACTTTGGTATTACACATTTCCAGACTGATGAATCATATTGAAGATACGCATAAGAAAGTTTTGTTCCTGTATCACTGTAACTGTGATAATTTCTGACACGATAACCATACCTTACGGGACTTTTATGTAGATTGACAACGGCAAACGTACTGGCCAAACTGTACTACAGTTATATCCAAAAGGAACTGAAGGGGAGGTTAACGTATGATAAAACCCCAGTGTAGTGGTGGAACAGGAACCCTTCATTAAGTGGACGATACAAACTATAAGATCAATGAGCTTCAGCTTACTATAACAGTTTTACTAAAAGATAATCCAAACATCCGTTCGATATCAGTTGAACAGACGCACAGTAATAATAAACAATGCAAAGTAATTTAATAGAAGATTTCGAGACTGCGTTCTATCAATTATAACAGATGACGTCGAAGCTGAGTGATATATATTATAACAGATCGCATCGAAGCAGTGTGATACGAAAAGAACAGACGACATCTAGGATGGGAGATATCAATTGCACTGCTGACATTGAGTCTGTGAGGTAGTAATAGAATGTATAGAACAGTTGATATCGGGACTCTGTGATACAAATAGAATGTATAGAGCAGTTGATATCGGGGCTCTGTGATACAAATAGAATGTATAGAGCAGTTGATATCGGGGCTCTGTGATACAAATAGAATGTATAGAGCAGTTGATATCGGGGCTCTGTGATACAAATAGAATGTATAGAGCAGTTGATATCGGGGCTCTGTGATACAAATAGAATGTATAGAGCAGTTGATATCGGGGCTCTGTGATACAAATAGAATGTATAGAGCAGTTGATATCGGGGCTCTGTGATACAAATAGAATGTATAGAGCAGTTGATATCGGGGCTCTGTGATACAAATAGAATGTATAGAGCAGTTGATATCGGGGCTCTGTGATACAAATAGAATGTATAGAGCAGTTGATATCGGGGCTCTGTGATACAAATAGAATGTATAGAGCAGTTGATATCGGGGCTCTGTGATACAAATAGAACATATAGAGCAGTTGATATCGGGGCTCTGTGATACAAATAGAATGTATAGAGCAGTTGATATCGGGGCTCTGTGATACAAATAGAATGTATAGAGCAGTTGATATCGGGGCTCTGTGATACAAATAGAATATTTGGCATTACAGTTTTGTAGTATTTATAGAGCAGAACTAATTATAAGTAATATAAACCCTTTTGACGCAGAGTAATTGTAGGAAATACTATGTTTCTGTCATAATATATAGTCATATGGAATACGTGCATCATAGCATAATGTGAATAGTGTTAATGGGTGTGATGTAAATATGTGTAAGTGTTTCTGTTGCTTCTGTTTTAGGGCATGGTCTCTCGTTTGACCTGTCGTCGTCATAAAGATGTACACAAACTTTATAGAAAAGGTTCTCTGTGTGTCATACCTTATCTACGTTGCTTTCTGTAGTTAGACCTGTATCACTGAAATGGCATTATTTTCCGTTTGCTCCTCAGTCACGTACCTGTCTTCGTGTGATGTTTCCGTTTGTCTCTCAAATATGTTTCTGACTTTGTGTGATGCTTGAATATGTCCCTCAGTCATGTGTCTGTCTTTGCGTGTTGTTTCCGTTTGTCTCTCAGCCATGTACCTGTTATCACGTAATGTTTCTGTTTGTCCCTCAGTCATGAACCTATTTTCTCGTCATGTGTCCGTTTGTCCCTCAGCCATGTACCTGTTATCACGTAATGTGTCCGTTTGTCCCTCAGTTATGGACTTGTTTCCGTGTGATGCTTGAGTGTGTCCCTCAGTTATGTACTCACTTTTTCTGATGCTACACAGATCACGCGCGCTTTAATTAATTATCATACTGGTTAAATATACATTGGTTCACCAACGAGTGTTGGTTCTCCAACGAGTGGTGGTTGGTCATCATGTGTATCTGCCTCGAAATAGTTCATCTTCAAATTGTAAAATGACACAAAGTTTATGTTTCTTTAAATTATGTTAGTGGGACAGACCTATGCTTTTAAATAAATAATTTGCATTACCTCTCCTGACTTAATTAAATTAATATTAATGCAAGTCTGATTTCCTTTTTGGACCTCCTGTCCTGTGTATGTTTTACATTCGCTTTTTAAAACGTTTAAACTAATGTAAAAATTAATATGGACGAAATAGCTATATAGTGCTGTGTAATACAGTTTTAGCACACTGTACTTAAAACCAAATGTTACAGTGTAATTTTCAATATAAAAGGTGATAGACGTTCATATTATAATGCAAGATAGCATATTTGTAAAGTGTTTTCTCTACTCATCTGCAAATATTATGTACATAGATTTGTCAGCACGATGTTACTATGTTTCCTGGAGTAGCTCCAATAAATGGTGTTGCGATTTTTTGGGATTGCTGTTGGTTTTTTTTTCCATAATGTTTTTTTTTTCTTTATTTTTTTTTGCGGGGTTGTTACATGTACAATGTTCTAGCTCGCCTTTGAGTATATTAAAATTGCACCATATAAATAAAGCTGTCTGCTTTTAAATGAATGTATGGAAAGGTATTTCTATGGAGACAAGATCTTTTCATATCTGATGTATAAAGTAATATATCGTGGTGTTTAAAGTCCCTTTGCACTTTACTTTTTTTAATAACTGAGTGCAAACACATTAAAAGCCTTTTTCGAGTCAGCTAAGCATATTAGCCATTTAAAGCACCATACAGCCATTTTGTTTATCCATAACTCACCAGTGGTACCGAAGGAGGAGCCGCGTTGGCCAAGTGGTTAAAGCGTCTGACACTCTGCTACCACTAGCCCTCCACCACTGGGTCGCGGGGTCGATGCCTATGAAGGGCAGTCGCCCGGTACTGGCCGTGTGTCAGTGGTTTTTCTCCGGGTACTCCGGTTTACCTCCACCACCAAAACCTGGCACGTCCTTAAATGACCATACATATGCATGTCGCTGTCAATAGGACGTAAAACACAAACCAAAACTACATAAGGTCAAACAAATTAAACCCCGTGTCTGAAGTGTCCATGAACATGTGAGCATGTCCATCAAAATAAGAAAATCTTGGTCAATCGTTTATAGTGTTACAGCTTTACATTTGTAGATAACAATAAAAAAAATATTCTTTAACTAGACTTTCATTAATGTCATGCCAGAATAAATTTCATCTATAAAGTTCAAGCATAAGGATCAGCATCAATGAGATGTAAAATAGATTCTTGTACTTAAGCATGAAATAACGAAACAAATATTAATTATCCTCGAACAGTACCACTGTCAAAAACAGTATCTATGCCTGATAAGCGATTAGAAAAATCATACCTGCCGGCACTTTTTTGAAAACGGAGAGAAAATCAACTCAACAATGAAAACAATTACTCTGATTAAAAAAATATCAGCAGGAGTACACCGGGATTCGAACCCCAAACTACTTTTTGTTATACTATTGCTCCAACAGACTGATCTACCTGTTCACCGGAATCATTTTGGCCTCACAGGGCTACATCATAAATGAAGTGAAGAGGAGTTAACTACATAAACGAAATAATCGCTATGGTGGGGAAGGGATCATTAAAAAGACTTCAGAAATACTACGAAAGGGGTAAGGTATCGGGACAGTAACAATTTAGATCATGACATTATTTGTATGACATGATGTTTATATGGTTTAATAGCGTTCGTTGTATGTCATCACATTATATTTTCATAAATGTAATTGCATATCATGATATTAATAACGTGTCAAAGCGTCTATTTTAATCATGGTGTAGATTTGATTTTATGGCGTTGATGGAGTGTTATATTGTTAATAAAACCTTAAGGACTTGTTTAATTTCACGCTAAATTCACGTTAGTTCGAGTGCATATTTATTTTTATCGATGTGGCATGATTACTCTACACGTCTTTGCTGCTTTTAAGCACGCATTTGTGATTGACAGGGTTATCAACCATTATTTCTGGGAAGCATCAATTCTCTAATGAACGGAGTTCATAAGCATATACCGTTAAACTCTAAGATCGTTTATGCTGGTGATATAAATCAAGATTCCTAGGGGTTTTGCCATTGTTCTCTTACGATACATCTACGTAAATATTGATACAAATGCAAAATAGGTTTTCAACGCAAGACATTATTATGCTTTTTAAGAATGATGTTTTGTAGAGATCTTGTTGAAACATTCTATTAGTTAGATTATCGTTTTAACGACTTGTTAGGGCGATTGAAATGTCATTGATATATCTGCCGTTCTTGTATAAGGTATACACTTTATACAATATAACCCTAATGATGTATTGTTTCAACGCGAATAATGACGGTTGGAGGGCACCACGATTCAGAAAAGTGGTAATTTCTTCTTTTTGATAAATTGTATGCGCCGTTTCGAATCTGAACAGGAACATCTAACATGTTTATTTATTCAAAGTAAATATGATGGAGGATTGCGTTGACGGTGGTTATAGAGGAAATCATTGGGAATTTTTTTCAGATGAGCTATCACACCTTGCATGGCACGTTCGTCTTATTTATTATTATTTTTATGTTTTAGTAATCCATCAATTTTTTTTCAGGAACCAAATCATTGAACATAACATAGTGTGCGTGAAATGCTTATGAATTTAATAAATACGTAGTGTGTAAAACGTCTCATGAAATGTTACAAAATTGTTATAGTATAAATGTACAGTTTGAAGCTGTTGACAATTTAACAGAACGTACTAGTTTGTGTGTAGAATATTTGTAGTATGTATGTTGCTGATGGGGACAATTTCAATTATGTATTAATATGTATGTGATACGTATGTAGCAATTGATGACGATACGTCAACTGCAAATATGTGACTCTCAACAAATACTTCATAATACTATTATAAACAATGTTGCCATTGGATATAGACTGTCTTCGACTTTCCTAGATCCTACATTTGCTATACAATGTATACAATGTATTGCAGGTTCATCTCGAGCTCCAGCGGTTCTGGCACAGGTATGCACTCGGACGCCATGACAGTTATATTTACACGAGAACCGCTTTCATGTCATCCTGGCGACATGGATCTCAAGTATCGCGTATTCCCTCTAATAATGGTCAAACCAGTGACACTTCGGTCAATGGCCGGCTGTTGTGGTCATCACGAAAAAGCAGTAACTACAACGCAGCCAAAAAGGGACCTAAAAACTATAATACAAGAACGTCATGGAAACGAGACAATACTTTGGACTCAAACGGATCCTTGAGAACCCGACCCGGAGAGACGGATAGTAAAACTAGCTACTTAGGACTACCACAGAGAGAATCGAGCAGGCAGGAGTTCATTGAAATGAGGTGAAAGGATATTCGTGGGGCCCTACGGATAAATATGTGTGTAGCCAAACAGCATATATGGACATCCATCGCCTGCTGTTAAATTGAACCGTAATTAGATGATCGTGCAGTGCTAACATCGCCGGATCTTTAGCATGCGTACTACTTTAACGAAGATATAAATATATTGACATGCATGTATTTCCGTAATGTTCAAATTAATCGGGAACTGAACTAAAACAGGATAGCTGCCTGTCAATTAACTTCATATGGTAAACGTAATATTGTGATAAATGTGTACATTTCCAATCACAAGGTTGGTACAGCAATATCGCTTCCTCATTGGACATCTACATTTCAACGAACTCATACTGCTTGGGTAATTTATCATCATCCCAATGTCTTACATGATAAGTAGGGGGAGGCAAGCAGCCAGTTGTGTGTTTTTGACTAATGACTGGAATTAAGACGTTATCTATTTCTAAGTAGGATATAATTGAAATACACGGAATCTGGTATGAGTTGCGTAAGTAGCTATGCTGTAGAAAAAAATACAAATTAACTATTGTGATTATGTGAGAACTGCGTTGCGCCATTGATATATTAAGTATGGTTGGATGAGAATAAATTGAACTGATTATTAAACAATAGTACAATAGAACAATAACTTTTGTTCGCTTCTGTAAGACGGCTGTGTCAACATCTGACTGGCATTAGAATGATATCATTTATGTATGTGTAATTTGTATCATATATATTATTATGTAAATGAACGTTTGTTTATCTAATTCTCGCTTTGTTTTTGTTCAAAAAATGGTTTGATTACTGTATACAAGGAAACGTTTGCCCTGCGCCTGTAAATTCCATATTTAGGCGTAATTGTGGCAAAGAAATCCAAGTATGCATAATTTCTCGTATATTTCAACATAAATGGTAATTACATTGCAATCATGTATACGGTATAATCTGGAACAAGTAACTGTTCTAATGTCTTATGGCACGAAGGGCTGATAACTCTCTTAGAACACATAGTCTCGCCTCAAGCAGGTTTGTTTGGGGTTTTTAGGGGGGGGGGGGGGTTCTTGTTAGGGCTATTATTCTTATCTTTTTGGCTCCAGCTGTTTTCATGAGTACTGATTTTGTTCTAGTGTGTTGATATAAAATCTGTTTTTTATTTGAAAACGGAAATTAATTTCATGTAATTTATTTTAATCAAGGACCTTCTTTTCTTAAATATATGAAAAAGATATGTATACCCTCATTACATGTGTCCTCTCATTAAGGTACATTGTATAAAGGCGCCCACCTTCCGTACATCAGTCTAAATATATCTACAATTTGAGAAAAAATATTTAGTTTGCATTGTATATCGAATTTAAATTCAATGAACCACAGCGTTCAGCACTCGAGGACAAACATCGTAACCTCAAGACAAGAACAGTAAAGGAACGGAGGGTACACCAAAGCGAACAGAAAGAAATAATTAACACCCACCTGAGGGGACATTAGGCGCCCTGGAAGGATGAGCGTTTTTTTACGCCCTATGGACTTTACGACATAAATTAACTTGCTAACTCCAGAAATAGTTACCGGGCAACAACGACACACGACACTGCAAAGTCTACAATAACAATACTGACTACGGCAGCTGTTTACATGCCAATAGTCAAGGTGAGCAGTAAATTCTCCAACATACCATCTTTCATGGCTAAAGGTGAAAAATATTCCCTTTACCCCCAACAAACAATGTAATTTAATGTCCCTTTTAAATTTTTAAATTAGTTTTTTTCTTAAGAATTGCGTTGCAAGTTGTCCTTAATTTATCACAAAACTCCTTTATAATGTCCAAACGTCTATGGACAAATAATGGCATGATAACGAGGTTCACTGTGGGTGAAAAACAACATGACATGTATTAACGAAATATTTATTTAAAAAAGATATCTTTTTTTAAATTGAGTTAAATGTAAAACATACGCGACAACAAATAAACTTTAACTGGCTGTGCAATAATTGAATTACAAACAATATAAACTTCAAAATGGCGTCTACACAACACTGTAAACCAGCGAGGAGTAACTAGTTGAGATCTTAGAGAAGTATAACTTTTTTCGATCAGCAGTTGTTGTTTTAGTAAGCAAAACTCGTATCGTCTATTTTCAGTTGAAAACTCAAGGAAAATGTTTTATAATTCAGCTAGATAATGACCGTTAATTAGTGTTGAGGATGTGAAATACTTATTCTGTTAGTGGACATGAGAGTAGAATTATTCTCATATGTAAAAAAAAGTGTCAGTAGGGTCTAGGGTCCGAATCTAATTGATAATCCCCTCCGGAGGGGTCATCTATTCAACCCCGTTTCACACAGTAATGAATACAATGCATAATAGTTTTACAATCTCAAAGGTCATGATTAAGACCGCAAACCCATAAACATTGAAAACAGTACATATTCTACTCTCCGATTTTTTTTATTTATTTTTTTTGTTTGTTTTCATTATGTTTTGCTTAGTGAAAAGGAAATATTAATCGGAAAATGTATGCCGTCTCTTTTGTCATTGTTTGATAGTTTGATGTCCATTATCGCCTTGTTAATGTCGTTAAAGTATGAATCTGAAAAAAAGGCATCAGGAAATATCGCATCGTAGATTAAAGCGTCTAATGTGGAAATACTGACTAAGTAGTTCAAAATCCAGAAACTCATGACAAGCTCTGAAGTAGTGAGTGCACCGTTATATATACAGGTATCGGAACAGTTCGAATTAAGTGCAAACAGATAGTTTATAAGACATCATGTAATCATATTCGTAATAAAAAGGAATGATTTTGACACATTTTACAGGAGGCATTGACATAATGCCATTCTATACTCCATCTTAAGAGAATAGAATGCACAGTATAAGTTGACAACTCGTAGTATGTTCTGATTAAAAGAGAGACATATTCTAAATAGGCAGATACATGCAAGTAATGAGTATGACATCGTTTAAAGGAGGCATCAGCATACATCATGTCGTTTTATGTTCTGCCTTACGAAAATAGAGGCCAGACGCCTGGCTATTTACCTCCGACTTTAGTGTAATATGTCGTCACCGTATAATGAATCTGACACTTTAATTATACTCTTTTAATGTGACTTATTGACAGGATAGTACTGGAATGACATTCTATCCTTATAAAACATGAAACAGTGTTGTTCAGAATTAATTTGTAATTACAGAACCAGTAAATGGCATAAAGCTAACGTATCTTAGCAATAAAAGGCGGCAAACGATCGTGACGTCAAATAAAATGCACTGTAAAATGCACTGTAATCATTTACAAATCATATAAGATAAGTTACGTATTACTCGTGAAGAATCTACATTTCACATTTAAACAAATATCTGTTGATGGCATAAACACGTAACAAATATGTTAATTTACGTTTAGTCGATTGATAATGACCACGTTTGTCAAAGCCCTGTCTGCTTGATACGGATGGATAAAAGACTGTGATCTACCGTGTCAACCACAACTACAAGGAAGAATCAATGGGGGGATATACAGACAATACTGTTATAAACTTTAATGATTCTAATACGAATCCACCAGATGTAAGATATTCTTTTTCCCGGAGCATGCCACGAATGGCAGTTGTGTTTCCACTAGGTAACGATTTCTCTGATACACATATTGATTATACTACCGGTCATGGTAACACTGTAACCATTACATTGACACAGGGTGGCAAATACACAGAATACCGCTTTCAGCACACATACATGTATGCACACATGTGCGAATACAATGTATAATGTATGCGTGTATGTGTGTATGTGTGAGCACGTTATTAAATGACCTAATAAACAAAACATAAAACATCCATTCGCAATGTAATGAGGATGGAATACGTGTTGAGATGTATATGACGCCGCTGATCTGATGGTGACAATGCAGACGTAGCTGTTCTAAAATCCTCGCAAAAAGATGTAAGCAGCTTAAAAAGTAAAAATGAAGCATATGTACTCAATCAACAGGTTAATTCATGTCAGGAATGTTTTAACAAATAATATCACGGTCCTGCAACCTACACTGATACGCATCGGTTAAATTCAATTTTGTATAGTGCTGTTATAGTGATGTTATACTAATGTTATGCTTTAATTAGTTATTTTACGGACAATAGACATAAACATGTTGGATTTATCGCATGGGGTTGGGACTGAATCATTCAGAATATCCATTAAAAGATATAATAAGTCGGGAGTTTGATATCGACAATAAAACAATAGCCATACAATTACCTCAGACACTGGGGTACCAACCGAATCACTAGCTAGTACACTTTTAAACACTTCGTAAATATTACTTATCTCATGTTATATAAGTTTAGTAAAACAGAATGCACTTTTAAAAATAGTTTACGCATAGTAAATATCACCAAATAGTGTCTGCTTGATCACTGGAAACGGGCCTTGTCGAGCAAGAGTTGCTTCCCCTCGTTCTTCGCAGTTGAAACACAGTGTCGAAAACCTGGTAACGCTGGTAGTCATCAGCCAACATTTTTAATTCGATGTTTTATCAAAGCGAAACATGTAAAAACATATCAATTAAACTTGAGAATGTTACAGGTTTTGATCAATTACCGGCGAGAGCATAGTGGTCACCTGAAAAAACCACCCTACAAACAACATTTTTAGGAGATAATATAAATATCATGATATTCCTTATGAACTAAAAATTGTTCTCGGCATACCATGTCTTTTTGGCCAACCTGAATTTTAATCAAACCAATCATGCACTTCAGTAAGCGGAAACGGATCCTGCTTTATTTCGCTATTACAAATTATCATTTCACTTTTTTACATGAGAGAGACAGATTTAATTCCATGTCAAATAAAAAAATAAAAATCCTGAACAACGAATCAGAAGCATTATATTTGGTCTTAGACTTCCTCGTCATAACAAGCCGTCGTCTCCTAATCACAATGGCGCCCACGGCTTTCCTCACATCCAAACCTCAACAAGAACAACGGTTTCATCATCAGATCCTCAGGTTAATGATGACGATAGTCTCATGGTCCTCCCAGTCAGCAAAGGTTGAGAATCCCCTTGGAACAATTGTGAACTACTCGGGTTTCATAGGAAACAACACGGGTGACAATGCCTCTGGCGGTGAATTCCTTTCAACATGGTGAAAACTCAATACATCTAGTACCGTCCGTAACAACGGAGGCTATTATAGCCAAGGATATGCTTGGTTCACAAGATATATTCACTGGCTAGTGTAAATACCTTGCAGCCGAGAGTTTAAAATATGTGGACAATATAATTGTTTGTTAAAATTCCTTTTCGGTTTTAATTATTTTTCCTTCAGATTTTTATATATCCTGACTGAATGACAACAGTACTTTGGTTCAGCCTGTGTAGCTTTTTGTCTTCCGTAGGGGTTATTCTCACATTTAATTTCTCGAACAAAAGAACTATCGCCACAGCGCCGGTAGCGCTAATTCCCTTTCTCTGAAGAATCAAAGCATGCAGATGGTATACGTAAGATCGTCACGAAAGGCAGTTTGGGGAACGTGACGCAAAACATCAGCATTGTAGACGACACGGATTAAATAGTTGAGTAGCATATTTCAGCGGAACTAAAGTGTAGCTCCACACAATGTATTTATCAAGACAGTGAAGGACAGGATTGTCTCCCCATTAGTCAAATATCTCTGTCTTATCCTAGGGATTTCCGATTGATAACACGTCAGCAAGGTAATTACTTGACGTCACCAAAAGCGGATCACAGGAGATCA